TTATTCATTAATTAAGCTTTTTGGTTTTTTGTGCATTTGTTTAAAAACAAGTTAAATAGCTGATTGATGATACTTAGAGCTGAAAATCGTAACAACTCATTGTTTCCCCCTAGATGATCTATTGTTATGCCTTCCTTACATTTAACATATTCAGCCATTAATTTCACTCTAAGGATGCTTCACTGAGTCTGTAATAAAAAGATCAGGATGGAAGCACTGTAAATTTTCTTATTGGGAGTATTTTACGGAAAACCATTTGAATTTATTACTCAGTTAAGATGGGTTTTCATTTTTACTGCAAGTCAATCTTGTATTCTTTTTCAGTAGTTATTCAAATAACTTGCTCTGATCACTGATAACACTAATTATGAAATGAATTTATTAACATATCTGCAGTTACGTTGATACCAGTGATTACCCACATGGCTGATACCTTGGGTATGTCAGTGGTTCAACCCTTCATGTATCTTGTAGGCAGAGTTGCTAAAAGAAGGGGAATTAGGGACAATTTATTGTCATTCACCATTTTAAAGTAGCAATAGCAAGTCAGACAGTTTACTTGAATCGGGTTTGGCCATTTCTCTCCTTACAGAGTTATTCACAAACTTTATAAAGCTGCATAATATGAGGTCAATTTAAAAAATATTCCTAAATAAGTGTACAGAACCTTTTAAGATAGCTGTATAACTTTAGAAGTAAATGCGGATAAAGAAAAATGTGAGCATTGTTTTAGAAATGCTGGTCTTTTAAAAGCCTTTATGCCAGGTGTGGTGGTGCATGCCTTTAAACCTAGTATTTGGGAGGCAGAGGCCAGCCTGGTCCACATAGCAAGTTCCAGGACAGCTGGAGCTACAGGGAGACCCTGTCTCAATAAGACCCCCCCAAAAAAGCCTTTTCATAAATTTAAAAGGCTTTAGAAATTAATGGTTAAAAAATGTTCTAAACAACATGAAACTTTCAATCTTAAATGTGTGTAAATGTAGCTTAAAACATGGAGAGGTGAGCATGTTATGGAAACCTGACAAGAAGCTAAGGAAGTCCAACTGAAAGTGGAAATTCTGTAAGTGAAAAATTGGAAGTTCGGGAAAAGTTTGAGTTCAACTGAAATCAAAGAATTTAGCGAGGATAAACTCTTCTTGGGATTCTTTAGTTATGGGGCTTCATGAGCTACTGGCTTGTAACACGGTGATTTTTTTTTTTTTTTAATTCATGGCTGTAAGCAATATAACTTAATACTTAAAGTACTGATCTTCAGATTATGTAGCTAATGTCACCATAAATTAAACTATATGGTTTTAGTTTATAGTTGCTAAACCATGCTGGCCTATCCTCTTCCTGTTAATTTAACTTTGAGATTATAACCAAATATCTGAGTTGGAGGTACTAAGTGAAGACAGGTGGGTCTAAAAGTGACCTAGAGGTACTAGTATCTTAAAAGTTTACACCTTAAAACTTCTGATTATAGAAGAAAGATAATGACTTAAGGTTTCTTGAATTTACTTTTGCTGCTTGTCCAACACTAGCCAGTTTGTGATGTATGTTATTCATCGTGCCTTAAAGTTTTATATTTTCATTTATGCAAACTACAAAATTTGCCATAAATGCATTAAATGGTTTGTTTTATTTTAAGCTCCCTTCACCTCTTCTACTTTTCAATTCTTTGAAATATTACTTTTCTCTCTGGATCACAGTTCATGATATTCTACTTCCTTCTAATCGCTCTTCTCATAAAAACTAAAGACAAGCCAGGTGTGGTAGCCCATGTTTGTAATCCCAGCTAGTGAGGTTGAGGAAGGAGGATCAGGAGTTGGAAGGTGGCTTAGCTACCTAGAAAGACCTTATCTCAGAAACAGTGACAAAAAACCTAAATGTGTGAGTTAATATAATGAAAGATCCTTTACACTGAATTAGTAAATTCTCCAAAAAAAAAACCCTTAACAAAATATAGGTACAGTTTAGAAATGTAACTTGATACTAGTTAATAAAGCTACATAAAATTTCACACTTAATGACTTTTTTAGAAAGGGCTGGAGAGATGGAGAGGTGGTCCAGCAGTTCAGAGCACTGGCTACATATGCAGAGGACCCAGGTTAAGTTCCCACCACCTACATGGTGGCTCACAACCATGTGTAACTCCAGTTACAGGGGATCCGATACTCTCTTCTGGCCTCCACAGGCATTGTACACATATAGTGCACTTACATATATGCCAGAAAAACACAAAAACCTTTAAAAAAGTGCTAGGCATGGAGATGCATACCTTTAATCCCAGCACTAAGAAGGCAGAGGTAGGTGGATTGCCGAGGACAGGCCCGGTCTATATATCCACTTCCAGGGCAGCCACGACTACATAGTGAGACTCTATCTTAAAAAAAAAAAAGGATCATGGGGCTGGAGAGATGGCTCAGCAGTTAAGAGCACTGACTGCTCTTGCAGAGGACCCAGGTTCGATTCCCAGCACCCACATGGTGGCTATGAACCGGCCTTAACTCCAGTTCCAGGGGAATCCGAAGCCCTCTTCTGACCTCTGCGGCATTGCACGATATGGGTGCACTTACATACATGCAGGCAATACACTCGTACCCATAAAATTAAAAAAATAAAATAAAAAGGATCATGCCTCCAAATATTTTGAACCCAGAAATGCCAGAAATGCAATGGCTCTAGCCTGATGGAAAAGTATATCCTTGATATTCATGATTACTGAAGGTCAAATATTCCAATCCTGAATGAAAGCCAGAAATATTCTATGAAACCTTCCTTCCTTTCTAAAGAGATTTACTATTAAACTGAACACCTTCTACCTACAGCAAATCATACTTTCAATTTTTGAGCTAAATAGAGCCAGAACTTGCCACTTCATAAGAAAATAGGAGTTGGTCCTATTACTGCCAAATTGTTGCAACCAAAATTCTAGTAACCATAATACTTGCTGTGTTGTGCAGGCATATGATGAGTTTTATTTAGACTGTTTTCTGAGGATTCTGCCTCAAAGGTTTCACATGCAGCATTAAAGCATCTTAATGAAGAGTCTAGTCTTTCAGAGGTCATGTATCATCAAGGTCTCCAGAGTTCTCACTATCATTTGCAACAAGGGCTTCTCTGTTCTCATAAATCCAGAAGCCGTTCAGATCAATCAGAATGGTGGTGACTGTGTCTCCTTGATTGCTGTTGATTAAATCCTGAAGTGAGATTTTCAAAGGATCCTCTGGTTTTACTATGTCAAAGATTTCATCCTGTAAGGGGGGGAAATCAGATTTCATTAATTTCTGTTATAGAGTGTTCTAAAACTCAGGGTGGGCATTTTTTACTTAAATAGAAAAGTAAACTTCTTTACCTGTAGTCACAGAATGTTATTGGTAGATTCCTTACCTGATAGCTCTCATTTTATAATGAAGAAAACAGGGGTCAGGTTCAAGCTACACAGCTAACTAACAGAAGAACTATCCAATGCAGTATTTTTGAATGCATATTAACTAACCTCTTATGCCTTTATTGCCTTTAATGGTCTCAGTATAATGTTTTTCTTTTGGCTTCAGTCATAGGCTTAATGCATGCTAGGCAAGCATTCTGCCACTGAGCCTACATTTCCATACCTTGGTTTAATTTATTCTTTAAACATTTTATTTTTGTTTGTGTGTATGAGTGTTTTATCTATATGCATGTAAGTGCACCTGTGTGTGCAGTGTCTGTGGAGGCCAGAAGAGGGCGATGAACCATCTGGAACTGGACTAGGACAGGTGTTAACTGTCATGTGGGGTGCTGGGAATTGAACCCAGGTCCTCTGTAAGAATAGTAAGTGCAGGGCTGGAAAGATGGCTCAGCAGTTAAGAGTACTGGCTGCTCTTGCAGAGGACCTGGGTTTGAGTCCCAGCACTCACATGGTGGCTA